TTGGAATGGTCACTTCACTTATTATTTTTTTTGAAATATTTTTTTATCTGAAATTAGCACTTCACACTTTGAGTTCTTCACAACGACTTAATGCATTCACAAAAACTGTTGCGTTATATATGGTCTACGAGACGAGGTAATAAGAATGAATTGGTAATTTCAATTCTACCTGCTGTGTCTTGTGGTGGCTTAAAAAAAAACAACACAAGCAATTTTACGATCTGCAATTGGGTCACAGTGATACCTTCATTGTTTAAAAGGGTTGCGGTGCATTCCAGTGATACTTTAATTGTTAAAATGGTTGCAAAAACGCGCATTTCTTAAGAAGGTGCCTTAAAATACCCACAAAAAGGGTTGTAAAAACAACCTTCATTTCTTAAGTAGGTGCTATAAAAAAACTACACAAGTAAGTTTACGACATGCAGCTGTGTCTTAAAAAACGCACACAAGCAATTTTCCGATTTGCAATTGTGTCACAGTGATACCCTCATTTTTTAAAACGGTTGAATAAAAAACCCACACAACTATGTTTACGACATGCAAATGCATCACAGTGATGCCTTGATTTTAAAAGGGTTGTAAAAACGCTAATTTCTAATAATTTTTTTTAATTTCTTTTCTATTACTAAGTTAAATTCATTTTTATACCCGAGCGCACTTATGCACAAGGGTATATTAATTTTGTTCATATAACGGTTGTTTGTAACAGCCAAAACGAATGGAGAAATGATCAGGATGAAAAAAGAAATCGATTAAGCCATGTCTGTCTGTCCGTCCGTCTGTCCGTCTGTCCGTCCGTCCGTGTACACGATAACTCGAGCAAAAATTGAGATATCTCAACGAAATTGGGTATGTAGGTTTCCCTTAATCCAAGGTAGGTTGGTATTGAAAATGGGCGAAATCGGACTTTAACCACGCCCACTTCCCATATAACGGTAATTTCCAGAAATACGAAAACTGCGATATTTTAGTAACTACTCAAGATAATTCACTCAAAATTTATATTTACAATAATTTTCAGACGAAAAATAAGAGTAGCCACGCCAACTTATGGTTACATGTGTATATCTTGGTAACCGCTACACCAATTTCTTCCAACCTTGGCACAGTTGTTGGCCTTCGCATAACATACCAAATGGCCGAAAATTTTTAAAATCGCTCAATAACCACGCCTACTTCCCATATAACAGTAATTTTCAGAAATACGAAAACTGCGATATTTTAGTAACTACTGGAGATTATTCACTCAAAATTGATATTTATAATAAGTTTTAGACGAAAAATAAGAATATTATAAATTTTTAGAAAATGGGCGCAGCCACGCCCACTTATGGTTACATGTGTATATCTTGGTAACCGCTGCACCAATTTCTTCCAAACTTGGCACAGTTGTTGGCCTTGGTACAGCATAAAAAACCGCCGAAACTTTTTAAAATCGGACAATAACCACGCCCACATCCCATATAACGGTAATTTAGAGAAATACAAAATCTTCGATAAATCATTAAATATTGAAACTAATTTATTCAAAATTGATGCTTGCAACAATTCTTTACCAAGAAATACGTTTATGGTAAAATTTTGGAAAATGGGCGTGGCACCGCCCACTTATGATCACATATAAGTATATCGGTAACCGTTCCACCAATTTGTACAAAACTCGGTATGGTTATTGTAACTGCCACGTGTAAGCAAAACGTTGAAAATTATTGAAATCGGACTAAAATAACGGCCGATTCTCATATAACGGTAAATTTAAGAAATGCTTGAAACTTCAATATTTCGAAATTGAAGGACGCTAATTTACTCAAAATTAATACACCTCGGCTTACCATCTAGCGGAAGGTTTCGGAAGGGTGAAAAAACATATATTTAATACTTGCGCCGGGTATTTAATGTTCGGCTCCGCCCGAACTTAGACTTTCTTACTTGTTTCATTTACATATGTTCTGACTAAATAAATTTCTAAAGAGAAAAATAAACTCCAAAAAGAAAAAACATAGGCATTTCGCTGATTTTTTCATGTAAAGTGCAAAACCGGCGATTTTTTGAAATGCTTGTATGGTGAACCCCCAGGGGGGTTACAGGGGGTGTGCCACTGGCATCGGTGGGTCGGGCCTCCAAAGTTAGT